GCATATAATTGTTTAACAGTTACAGTATCAATTACAACTCGTCGAACCCATACTCAAAATCATCAAATTAATAGTTGTAACCAAATTAGCAATGCACTTAAAACAAATACTGAAAAATAATAAATATCTTCTGTAGGTATTACAGTACAGTAAGAGCGGAAAAGAGCATAATTATTGAAATTAAGGATTTTAGTGTAACACATTACCCATATACACATTTATAGAAAATTTCAAATTTGCATAACATTTATTACTTAATTGAATATTAATGTTTTAGTATCATTTAAATTCTATGTATGTCTTTTCATATATCTACTTTAATTACTTCTGGCAAACTTTATAGTAAACGTGTAGAGAAATGAGTCCTAATTTAAATATTGTTGAATATGCATTGTGGTATTAAATGGCAGATCAAAATACTCAATAAATTGAATAATACATTTTAGACCCAAATTTCACTACACACACCAAATTTTTTTGTAGATATATCGAGTAATTATTTAAAAAGCACATGCAGAATTATCCACATTACAACATACATTTTGCAAACCAACAAAATTCACATACTTGAATTTTTCTGACTGCTAGATAAACCCATTTTTACATAAATTTACATAATTATTTGAACATAAATGCCATGAATAATCAGCGATTTGAGTACATAGCATTCCTTAATGATATAATAGCTTTGCAATGATATATCATACTCTAAGAATAAATATATCACAACTGTATCAACTGTTTTAGAATTAGACCTTGCAAATATTACTAGATATCGGTATTATGTCACTTTGCTTGTTAAATAAGAATTAGCCTTATTCATTCAATTTAAGCTTTGGTATCACAAACTTAACGATTTACATGATTTTCTTTAAACTAAGGTTTACAAGAAACTAGAAAATATAATACAGGCTTAAGACAGTTTTACATTATTATTTATAGTTTGTGTGGTTAGCATAGAGAATACTGAAAATTTAGTACTCAAAATAGCAAAAGATTACAAAATATTAGATTTTTGTGAATATTTGTATATATATATATATATATATATATATATTATATATATAATATATATATATATATATGTTCAATAGATAAGTCTTGGATTTTTTCAATATATTGATTGTTTCTTTTCCAAACAGTAAATCCAATAATAAAAAACAGTTTGTTTTTTGAAGATGTTTAATAACGAAGTTTCGGAACTAGATACGTTCCATCATCAGGTTTATTCTGTCAAAGACAATTATTATTAAACTATTGACTAATATTAATTAATGATTATTACAGATTATTTAGAAAAATTATAAAAGAATGGATTATGTACCAGTGTAAAGAGTAAAGAAAAGTATCTAAAAAAGGTTTTATATAAAATTGAGAAGCAAAAATTATTTACTTGTAATAATTTATATATCCATATCATGATATGGATATATAAATTATTACAGGTAAATATCATGATATGGATATATAAATTATTACAGGTAAATAATTTTTGCTTCTCAATTTCATATAAAACCTTTTTTAGATACTTTTCTTTTCTCTTTACACTGGTACATAATCCATTCTTTTATAATTTTTCTAAATAATCTGTAATAACTATCATTAATTAATATTAGTCAATGGTTTATATAAAAAACATTGTCTTTGACAGAATAAACCTGATGATGAAACGTATTTAGTTCGGAAACGTCGTTATTACACATCTTCAAAAAACAAACTGTTTTTTATTATTGCATTTACTGTTCGGAAAAGAAACAATCAATTGATTGTATCAATATATACATATATATATATATATATATATATATATATATATGTTGTGTTAACAATAATCAGCCAAGACTATTACAATATGAATATAAAAAAGATAAAAAATATAATTAAAAAAAAATTGTAATATTACTTCAATTTCAATATCAATGATTAACATGGTTATATTTCGTGACATTTTATCTACAACATATATCTGAGAAAACCAGAATATATATTTTTAATTTTTTTCATAATTTATTATTTAACAACAGTATAACACGATAAATATTTTTATTAATATATATTTTCAAATATTTTATTAATTGAATTATTGAAACTCTTCATTCAGTTACGCAATTGAGTATTATTTAAATTAATGCTATCAAAACAGTAGAATTAATATTAATTCAAAAAGTACATATATACATACAATAGTTTGAGTAAATTACACACTATTATAGATTTAAATATATTACATACATGTAAAGACTAATTTTTTGAATGAATGTTTAGATAGCAGTTTAAGCTTTAGCTTTGACACAGATATTTTGACTTATAAAAAAGGTTAATTTCAAAATGATCGGTATTTATAACATACCTGTTAATTGAAGTAAACTTAATATTACGTACTTATTAAGATAATTGCGATGAATGAAAAAAATATATAATTCAAATTGGAATAATTATTGATGCACCTATTTTTTTTAATATACAAAGTAAAATTGTTGATATATTTACTTTAAACGTTGTTACTTTAATATTATTTTACACATATACTATAGTTAAAATAAAATTAATACTATTACGTACATTTATAGCTCATAATTCATTAAATAATTTTTTAATATTTTAATACCAATAATAAAATAAATGGCACTTAACATACATGCACTCGTTTGCGGCATTTATAAAATAAATTCAGTTTTAGTAGCAATCTAGAAAACGTGAACATTATATTATTTCACAATCAAAAACTATGCAATATATACTTATATTACAAAATAAATGACTTAAAATGCGTTTTTAAATATTTGTTCACAATTAAAAGATTCTAAAATAACTTAATTAGACTCTGTTACATTATGCTTCATAATATTTTTTTTACATGACTGAAAACGATGCAGACAGTAATCATATAGATAACAGGTAAAACAATATCTGCTCCAATATTACTACTAAATAACACTTGCATTTGCTTGCAATTTCTTTCAAGATGGTTTCAAGTACTTTTTATCTTGGTGTTCAAATCAAATATTAAACATTTTATGGCAGAGGAACCGTAACTTGTACATACGTAACAGGAAAGTAGCCAGTGCGTCCATTCACAGAGCCTTCATACCAGTTCTCATCGACTTTGTTCAACAGCATTATTACATCGTTTTCCTAAAATAACATTCTTATATAAATATATATTCCAATTATATAATGGTAACTGGTTATTAAATTTACTGGTACTGCTAATTAAATTCTTTTAATGGAACCTTTCAAGTACTCATACTAACTCTAAATATAATAAATCAGCAAGGCCTTTAATACACGAATAATCTTCTACTTGTTCTCTGAAAGTGGATCAATATCGGCTGATATTGCTAATATTTATAATAATGATGCAAAATACTTGATAAAATATTTCCTCGTCAAAATTGTATTTTTTCTTTCTCAAATAAGTTTTAGAAAATTCAAAGGTGATAGATCAATTTTCTTAAACACTATTTGATTTCTATTTCGAATTTTCATATTCATACTGATATCTTTCTAATTCTTGTGTTTAAAGGTTGTATTCCTAGTTGACAATATATTGCAATAGAAAACCAATAATAGAAAAAAATGTAGTTTTCTATCTTCTTATTGAATCAATTTTTCATCATCTTCATCTAATTTCCGGATTTGTTTTCGTTAACTCTTTTTGGTCTTCAGAAAACCGAAAGAGTAGAATGGTGAAGCATTTAATTTATTAATTACTGCATATCCTATTTTTTGAACCAGAATTTTTTGAACTAGATATCTAGTCCAAATGCCCAAAAAGTTTCCTAAGGAGTTGATAGCACTGCTAACTGATTTCTTTGTGACCACGGAAGGCTAAATTATAACTCGTAGAAAGTGCAGTTAAAATCAATAAGCTTCGAAAGAACTTGGCGCCAAAATCATTTGATTATAGACTCTTTTTCTACATCGAATGTTGAAGGTAACAGCCACTGTTACGTGAATTCGATTCCTGTATACGCAATACAGGAATCGAGATATATTTGATATCAAGGGTCTATATAGTATCTACTAGAGATGGGTAACTCACTCCGGAGTTATCACTCCGATACAACTCCTCCCTCGGAGTGAATCCGAGTGGAGTTGTTTCACAGGATTTGTCATATCAGACTTCCTTAAACTGGTATTAAATCTGTTAACTCGTACAGACATTTAGTGTTTTTGTCGATTTTGCTTTGGGAAGAAAGCGGTTCTCGTAAGGCAGCTTTATGACCTTTTAGGTATAAAAGTCAAAATGATACCATTGTGTATTTTCCAGAAAATACAAAAATGTTACTTTAAATATACAGAACAATGAAATTGTATTCAAATGTGAATAGGTCAAATGTATAATTTATTGAATAGTAAGGAGTCATATTTCTAACTACGACAATCTTTGGCCGTGAATGACGGCAATCAGGAATATACATACCGAAAAATATACGAAACGAAATACATTTATTTAATCTTGTTTTTCCATAGCCTGAAATAACAACACTTTAGAGTACAAAATTTATCAGTGATACCATTAGTGTTTAAGCAGCAAAAAATATTCAGTATTATCTTATTACTTTTACACAATTATATAATTATATTACTACGCTATATAATATTAATTCTCAAATGGAAATAGCAGAAGAAAAATTTTGAAAGCAGAAGTATTATGTTGTGCTTTTATTACAAAGTTTACTACTTAATTTTTATATAAAATTAATCCAAAAAAATCAATTATTTTCTCATCAAAAGGAAAATATTAAATTGAATTTGATTCTCAAGTTTTGCGTTTTTACTTTGGTCAACACTGCTAAAATTACGAGTCACTGAGTCGATCATCTGGTCGACCGAAAAATTTTACAATCCGTCATTTATTTGTGAATTTTTTTAGAAAAATTGTTTTATTGATATTTATCCATAAATTTTTATTTAAAATAATTAATGGTATTTGACAAATCCTTAGATACATAAACAGAGCACTATAGAACACATTTGTTTCGAGTATTTCGGTTTCAAAATTGTCGGAGTCGTGGAGTTGTTTAGCGGATATAACTCCACCATGAAGCGGAGTCAAATCCGAGTAGATCCGGCTTCGCATATAATAAGCCCATCTCTAGTATCTACAATATATTTCCAACTGATCTAAATGTTTTATATTTTCCTAGATGCTCGAAACGCGAATAATCTGCATTATTCACTATTATGCCTATTGAAGATTTAAAGAATAGAAGCAATGTAAGTTCAAGATTTCACGCCAGCCTTAGAAACAGTACAGTCATGTTTTTTTTTTAAATAATGACGGCAATCAGGAATATACATACCGAAAAATATACGGTATGTATATAGTTTTTAAAAAAAAGATCTATTGTAACTACCTTCTAAGAAAGCACCTTTAGTTTTCCAATGCCCATTTTCAATCACGGACCTTTCCACTTAATCATCAGCTAGCTCTTTAAATTTACCTTCGTCTCTTACATATGGCGAAGATACTATATTGTACACTAAATTATAACTCTCTTATTTTAATTTTTATCACTAATATGTTGTGGTAACGAAAAAATAAAAGATACAAATGATCAATTATCAAAATAATCACACCAAGAATACGCAGTCATTAGAGCCCTAAAAACATATCGAATCCTTAATTTCGTAATGAATGCGTTCTAAAATGTATCATCGTCTTTTAGTTTAAAATTATTCGAAATGTATAACGATTAACTTGAAATTGTATTACAGTCTTTAGCTATCTCACTTTGCATTTTAAACAAAACTTTAAAAAATAAAATTTTCAGGTAATTTGTAAATATTTCTGTAGTCGCGGCTTCTAGAATCGTGGGCCCGTAACATTTTGCAAACTTTGCCACCCTATAGTTACGCTTTTCGGTCTGCAGCATAAGACCCGAATTAAATCGACAACATGTTAAAATGTTTTTTTTTTTACTTTTTTAACTTACTGTAGGAGTAAGTTATAGTAACCGTCCAAAAAAAAAATAATTTTGCATACCCTTACGTTTCAAAGGTATAATTAAACTAGTGGGTTATGGCATCATGCCTTAAGGCAAATTGCTGAAACTTCCCGTACCGTAACGAAACGTTCGAGGAATATTAAATATTTTCAAATAGATTATTATAAATTCTGTAATATCGGCTAATATTTATAAGAATCAAATAAACTGAATCAAAAAGTTAAAATTATTCTCTCAAAGTACATAAGTAAGCTTTAGAACTTTAATCAGAATTAAAATTGAAATCTGAATTCAAAAAAAATTTTGGAAAAAAAAATGAAATGAAAATATTCCTGCTTATAAGGATTGGTGCTGATTAGTTTTTGGGAGAGGTCGGTCCAGCCGTTTCGGAGATACAAAGTAAAGAGTGCAGGAATTGGAAATTAAGTTTTTGAGAGAACAGAGCATCCGATTTGAATGATTCAAAAAACATTCGGTAATAACTAGAAGACGTAGTGATTAGTTTTTGACAGACCCAGTCGTTATAGAGATAAGGAGCTAAAAGATTAAAAAATGGCAATTTTTAATAGAACAAAGCATCCGATTCGAATAATTCAAAAAAACGTTTGCTTGTAAAGATACCGTTAGTTTTTGGGGAAGGTTATTTTTTTATTTCAAAATTTGAAAACAACTTTTTTTAGATTTCCAAAAACTTGTCTTAAATGATTCGGATTTTAATTTTAATTCTAGCAAAAATTCTAAAGCTCACTCATATACTTGAAATAAATAATTTTAACTTCACAATTCAGTTTATATAGTTCTTAGAAATATGAGATAAGTTTTCCTTCATTCTCAATCCGTTTGATCAAATTCTCGTGTTTTTTCGTGTAAATATATATAAAAGTTGTCGTGCGATTTATAAGCTCTTATATTTTGTCTATGAAATACGAATAATGAAAGTTACAGTATTTATAATAAAATATTTGAAGGTATTTAATATTCACCAAATATTTCATTACGGTACAGGAAATTCCAGCAATTTGCCTTAAGGCACGATGCCATACACTACTAGTTTAAAAAATAAGTTATTGTATGGTGAACATTGAAATTAGTAGATATAATGCTCAGAACATATTACACAAAATATTAATTTTTATTAAAATTCTGAAATCAGTTTTCGCTAATTCAAAATATTACACTTGTAAAAAAAGAAAAAAAGAAAAAAAACGCTTGGTGATAATACTCTTGATGTTAAATTGAAAATAAATAAATCTTGCTTAATATTTTTCTTAGAACACTTTATGTAATACCGATTTATTAAGATTGACATTATTTTGTTCATTACATGATTTTCGTTAAAATGTATATTTTAGGAGATATTTGCAAAAAAACGAAGAAAAACGCCAAAAATATATGAATCTTTAGTGGCCAGTAACTTGAAAAGTATTAGTTTTTTTGAAAAACTATAAAAGACATTTTTTTTCAAAAGTTATTTTGAAAAAATGTAATTACTCAATTAAGAAGGGGTGTCATCCCCCCGGGGGGTGATGGCGCAACGCGAATTGTTTTCACTTTTGAACTTGAGGGTAAGATGAACCTAATTCCAAAATTTCATTCAATTCGGAGCACAGTAAAAATATTCAGACCTAAAGCGCTCCGTTTACTGCAGTAATGGTTTTATTAGAATGAACATGCTTTTGAAAGACCAAATTAATAAAAAAGCGGTAATAAATCCTTACCTTAAAACCAAGTTCTCCTGGATTTTCAGGTTCGAAATCATATAAAGCAGTACAGCATGGTTGCTTTTTAACTTGCGGCGTTTTAGCTGGAGACCTCATTGGAGACGGTAGCGGCGAAGCTAAAAAAAAATCTATAAGTAAACTGCTTCTTGTTACTTTTCAATTACTATTACTATAATATATACATATAGTCTAAGCAAATAAATGTAATATAAGTAAAGCAGGTAAGCAGCGAAAGTTCTATTAATAATTTTATATTCATTCACACACATATATCTAAATATAAATGTTGATTAAATAAAATACTTCTCAACAAGTTATCATCCATATACTAAAATAGATAGAAAACTGAAATATGTTTTTAAACCAATTTTAATAGATCCATACGTCTCGAATCCCAATTTGACTCTTCTTCAGTGGAACACGAATGCAAAAAATGACATACAAAAACTTGTAAATTCATCAAAGAATAAAACCGCTGAAGGAGAGCCAAATTGGAATTAGAAACGTATGGAAGCATTAAAATTACTTTAAGAAACATATTGTAGTTTTCTTCCTATTTTATTGTCTGGATGAATGCCTGTTAAGAAGTATTGTGCTTAATAACACATTTATCACCATCTGAAAAATTATTATATACCTTTATATACATATATAAATTCGTTTTGTAAAATGTTATTGAACATAGAATTGCTCTTAATTGAAATATTACATGTTCAATTAGAAGCTTTGTTTTACGTCCATAGTAGTAGTAGTAGTAGTATTTTTCGATAAGGATTTTTTATGTATTTCTTTTTTGTTTTTTCATAGGGCAGCAAATATTTACTATGAATGCATACCAACAACGAACAAACAATTGTTTCAAAGATATCAAGATTAAGCTCATACAACTCTCAAGATATAGTTCTGAATCTAATGTAACATATATGTATTAATAGCGTCTACAGATCAAGTGCAACGTTAACATTAACAAAAAAAAACATGTTATTTTTAAACTTTTTAAAGAACAAGTTTGTTTTTATCAGAAAATCCGACTTGCTAATTTTAAGTGTCTACAATTTTTCAAGTCATTTTGAAGTGTTCGATACAAAACTTGCAAAAAGTGTGAGTGAAAGCCAAAATTTTAAACGTTTTCTCAAAAAACGCAGCATCGATTTAAAAAAATTAAAAGCCATTAGGATGAATTTTGATAAGGAATTATTTATCTAGATTAGTTTTTCGCGACGGTCAAACGAGCAATTTCTTCACAATTAGTAGACAAGTGCAAAATTATTCGTCCACGTTTCTCTGAACAAATTCTATAAATTCAAAAACTGTTCACAAAATATCAATTGAAAATCGTGCTGAATAGTTTTCGGTAAAGATCTGCCGGGCAATTTCTTTGTAACTGCTGATTTTTTTTTACGATTTTGATAAAACATTGTATGATAAGAGTTTTTGTTCTTAAAAAACTCTCTGATATATCACAGGCTTACGAATTACGAAGAGATATTTAAAATTGTGGCCGCGTCAAAGTTTGAAAGTTTATCACAATCAAATATCAATTCTCATTGATTAAGTCGATTATTTACATATTTCGGGAAATGTATGCAACTTACATGCACCTCTTTTGAATTTATTAAATTATTTAAAGATAATTTAAAATATCATGTTTTTATTGATGTACGCCTGATTATTACATGGTTAATATTACACACATACTCTGCCAGTAAAGATTTTCAAATAAAAATAGCATTATTTATATCAAAAGCAGATCTAACATGAAGCCCAAATATATTCACAAAGTTGTCAAATGAAACCATAGACCTTACACTAATTGTTAGTGCAAGGTCTATGATTGAAACAGTTATATACATACACACGTACACACATACATACTCATACATATACTTACATATCAAACGTGCATAAATATGATTTAATTTAATAATTTGCCTTTGTGGATGAAATATTCAAAGCAGTACTAATTTCTCATTTCTAATTTTAAAAATATGCAGAAGTATAACTATAATTAAATTTAAAATTAGTAAGCATTAGTACCATACGTGTCTGGGAGGAATCAAATAAGTAACTAGCAAATTCAGATAATTACTGATATATTATTTGGTCCGATCCATGCGAATATATTTACAGTAGCACAAAAAACATGCTAAAAAATTAAACTGATACCCCACATGCTTAAGGAAAAAAGTGCACATTTATTTTACTAAATGAATGTTTACCATTTGCAGACTTTGGAGCCTGCCCGTTCCCTGGGAATAATTCCAACGTGTTTGGCTTATTCACCGGCGATCCGGCGTTGGACGAGCCGCCTGTATAATACCGTAATTAAAATAAATTTCATTTACTAATTGATATCGAATTCGATTACGCATTAATTATAAATTTTTATTTAGCTTAACTTTTCATTGTAATAAATAATCATCTAAGTTGTTTTATTAAGTTTCGAAGTGTATGGAAACAAGTTTAGCTTTAATTTTTTTTCTCTTGAAACACTGAACTAGCACCAGAGAAAGCTCATCGCATCAAAAGTATGTAGGTACTTTTAGTTTTCAAAAATTATAAAAAGATCCTATCTACTACGTTTTATTTTATGTCGTCGTAGTTGCAGGTTACTTTGTTTTAATCCTTTCGCAACGGCTCGGTTTTCCGTAGCAGTGACACTGCTGTACGAGCCGGCAAGCCGCCCAAGTATTTATTGCACGACATATATTAAAATTTTCCAATGATTATCAATAGGAATATCTTAAAATAAAAAATAACACTTCTAAATGATTAAAATTTTCAATATTAAGTCAGTATTCTCAATTATTTAACTCAGAGTAATAAATCTTGAAGCAAAAGTCGACACACTAGATATCACTTCACTCAATAAGTCCGTAGGATAACTAAGAAAAACCAAATTTTTTGGCAAAATTCTTTTTTTTTATTCAATATAGTTTTCTTCGAAGACGATATACCGATTATAGCGAACTTCAAACTTTCAGGAACCATTTTTGTAGTACGATTTGTTCTTTACCACAAACTTCCACAGCGAGATCTCTCTTTTGAGATCTGTGAATGGTATATGGTCTCTGGGAAACAGTTCTAGATAATATAATGAGTGGGAAAACAATTCAGAGCCCAATTCGTGTTTTTTGCCACTGTTTTCACGGATTTGTGACGTGGTGCGATGTCCTGATAAAGCAGCACGGTTTTCTTTTTCAAATGGAGCCGTTTTTCCGATTTTGATCTTCAAATGTTCCAATAACTTTGTACAATAGTCACTATTGATGGTTTGGTCTTCCTCAAAATATTTGATGAAGATCATTTATTGCAAATACCAAAAAATTGACGCCATACCCTTGCCAGATGCTTGTTTGCATTTCTTCTCGTCTCTAGTCCGCATAGCTGACTGTCTATTCAACTCCGGAGTTCAGTGGTGAAGCCAGGTCATATCCATGGTGACATATTGATGCAAAAAATCAGTTTTATTTCGATTAAATAGCTCCAAATATTCTTACGAATCATCAATTCGCTATGCTGTTGGTCAAATGTGAGTTCTCCACCATTTGCCTCGATTTGGCGCAGTCAGTTTTGCGCAAGCACAGATAACACTTATCAAGCGATTCTTTGACAGCAATAGTATTTTTACCCATCGAAAAGCAATGATAAATCATCCCACGAAATTGCTTTAAATTCATGGTTCCGAAAAACTCAAAAGTAGCGTCACTTGAACCTCTGTAACTTGTAAAGTAATCGTCGGATTGTCATGAAATTTAGACATATATCTTCTTGAAGCTGTTACTTTCTACAAATCATATAGAAGATTACATAGCTACATCATCTATGTGTTATCCTACGGACTTATTGAGTGACGTAATATGTCTATAGTGACACTCATACACGCAGATCGCCTGCGATTAAAGTACTAAAATTTAAATTATGTTCGTAAACCTGCAATAATGCTTAAAATTTTGTTCAGTGTTAGAGTGAAAGAAAAAAATATCTATTTTAATATCTGGTATATGGTAGAGAATTACTTCCAATTTTGAAAGAAATATGATATTCACGTAATATGTAAGGCTTAAAAGCACGAGAAAAAGTGTTATAATAAATTTTCTTACGTTAATTTAATATACCAAGAAACAAAACCTAGAAATATTACAACATACCATATGTCCTTTTAGGCTTCAAATTGAATTCGTTCAACTGCCTTATAATCATTAAAATAGTACATTTGACTTCTGGACTAACAAGACATACTCAACAACACAACAAGTAATGATACTTTTTGGAACAAAACTAATATCAAATGTGAAAATATTAGTGCCGATGATAATATAATCATTTTTACTATATAAAAAAAATCTTGTTTATGAAATATGAATAAATATCATTAGTTAGTCATTAGTTTATCAAAGTAAAGGTTATCGAGTACTAAATTGTTAAAATATAAATTCATTTATATTGTTTATTATTAAGTTTAACATTTTCTGCTATGTTTTAATAATGTTTAACAAGCGCTTGTATTTTGAATAAGCCAAATAGCAAAAGTGCTTTGCTGATAAGATTTTTTAAAAATAGTGTTCATGATTCCCTCTATTGATAAAACAAAACAGAACAAATCACCAACCTCAAACAAAGCTTTGTAAAATATAAAATAGAACTACAAGATATCCAAAAAATAAGCAAAAAATAAATGAGAAATAAGTAGTAATAGTTAATCTCACACATATACCATACAATGATTGCTTTATAAATTCAATAAATTTTTTACACCTCATTTAAATTGCGTTTCTGCTTATATGCATTATGCAGAAAAGATTTGAGAAACTAAAACATACTCTTAATGCTTTAAAAATTCCTCAACGTCAGAAACCGTCACCTTTTCAAAGAGTTCAAGTTTTACTATTTCTCATGAAAAATTATATTCGTCTACACTCGTAATTAAAAAAAAAGTGTATTGCTGTTAAATTTGTCGTTCAACTTTTAAGAACACTTATGTAAATTACTAACTTATTTCTGTTTTATTTTGTTTCTTCGCCAAATTTCAAATAATTTTGGCAATGATTGATTTTTGTATGTACAAAACTGTTCCGGACAGCATTGACCATAAAACTTCTTATTTCGCAGTATAAATAAAGCAGTTTTGGTGACATAATATCCACATTACTATAAAAGTATATTTATAAAATCATAGTTTATAGCAATACTATTAAAGTGCAGGGATATATATATATATATATATATATATATATATATATATATATATATGGAAACTGTGATATCCACAAATTTGAATTTTACAATCAGTAGGATATATACAGATACTACTACATAGACCATTCAAACACAATTAAAATAAATTATATTAAACACACAATGAACCTGACAATATGATGAATAAAACAAAATAAAAAATAACTGATTAAATCCAAATCGTTAGTCAATTTTGAGTTTTGAAAGTAAAAATGATTAACTGTAATATAATAAATATTAAACTAAAACATGTGAATTGATTAATTATAAAATCAATTATTTTCAAAATGATTTGTCAAATAAATTTAGAATAGCATTAATAAAACGTAATATCAAAATTGATAAAATTATATCAATATAATAAATTAATTTAAAAAAATTAGATATGGCCGATTAGATGCCCAATAATATATGTTCTATTCATCATAAATGTAACCGTCGGTTCAAAAATAAAATTAAAAACTAAACTCAAATAAAAATAAATTAAAACAACTAAAAATAAACAAACCTGTCGTCCATGGATCATGAACATTATTTTTACTCTTAGCCTGGTATGGCGGTGGCATTTGAAATGCGTCCCATCCATTCATTAAATCATTATTTGTCGAGTTGTTATAATTATTCTTATTGTTTGAAAAGCCATTACTACCGTTGCTATTGGAATTATTAATGATACTAGGATTGAAACCAATTATCCTATGAGATCCTGTCGTCATTTGTGTATTTCTTATGTTATTCTGATTAGAAATATTACTCGAGGAAGACGTAAATCTCTGACTGCTATTGTTTTGATTATTTTGTGTGCTATTGAACAATGAAATATTATTAGATGAGCCGTAGGGATTAGAAAGGGAACCGGAGGAGGGCGTGTGTCTCCCACCATTTACACCACCTTCTAAAACGCCTTCGATGTGCAAATCCGCTAGAGTTTTCGGCACAAACTCCATCTTCGGTCGGCTTGCTGCTTCCTCTTTTCTGAAAAAAGAAAGATTCATTTTTAAATAAATCTAACATATTAGGTCATAATATAGAATTACATTCTGATAGTAGGAAAATTTCGTAGCATTAACCACTTAATGCTTACGGCCGAGCTCAGTTAGTTCGGTCATAGGAATTTTTAAACTGATCGGAACTTGTTGAACGATCGGATCATCAAAAGAAATTTATAAAAAATGTGTTTTATTTTACTATATATATTAATGTAAACAAATTTCATTAACTTCAATACTTCAAATATAATTACAATTACATCGATTCCTTCATTTGTTATTATAAACTAAACTACACTTTTCTTTTTATCTTGCATGTATAGTAATAGCATTCTAAATACATTGCAATAATAAGAAAAATATGATTAGTTTTTTTCAGCTTTGCATTAAGTGGTTAATTATACACCCAGTTATGTGATGTTCGATATAGGCCATTATATAGGCTGCAAAATAAGCAGCTTATGCATATTTATATAAGTCTTTTGTATTTCTGTATATAATTTCTATGTTGTCTAGTGAAAACAAAAGATCTGTGAACATCAATGTATATTAAACGAAATATTGTGTATTTTTCTAGAAAATAAAATAATTTTACTTCGAACAGAGTGTGTCATACATGTACTAGCTAATTATGAGGAACTCGTATTAAAACAGTTATCGTCAGAGATTAATTCATACAACCTATTAAAAAAAGTTCATTGGTGGTAACGAGCCCAATCAAATTTAAAATAATAAACCTTTCATGTTTGTAACAAACTCACAGTGTTAGATATTAAGCGACCTCTACTATTTTAGTCACTATTATGATATTAACGCCCTTATAATATCAACAACTTCAGGTGGTATGTTTTTCCAACAATATTGAACAAATTTGCCGCCAAATGAACAAATTTAATGTTTGAAAACGTCATGAAAAATAAAATACAAAAGTGTAATCAAACTATTCTTAAAATATATAAATACCAATTTCCCAGTTATTTTAAATATAACAATGTTCGAGTTGAACTACAAGAAAAAAGAAACATTTTACATACTTTTCTAGAAGAGTTTCTGTTAAATTCTTTAATATCTCTGTGCACTGCTGATGGTAGTCCAAAAGTCCTTCAGCAAACGTTGCTAATTGTGAAACTTGTTCTACCTGGGTAATATTAAATATATTTTTTTAATCATTTGCGATTATACAAGATACAACGTGGGATTCATTGGAATCTATTTCAATAATGCTTTAAGCAGTAATATTGATACAATTTTAAATTTTAGAAAAATAATAATTATTGAAGGTGATTATTGTTTACATTACAATTTGAGTACGGATAGCAAAAACTTACATCGTTTTCAAGTAGATTGAACATTCCAACTTGCGCAAGGTGCAAGGACTCCGCAAATTTATCCTCCGCTTGGCGAATTTCATCATCTGTAATATGAGATCCTGTGTTGACGACATTTATGGCCCAGGCATGTCAAAGTGTCATGTGTGAAAACAAAGCAGCATGTCCATTGGCATATCATAAATTAAATCAAGATACATGAAAAAAATAAAGAAAAATAACCATATCAGCATTCACTATCAATAAATGAATTAATTACAAAAATGAAAAAAAAACATAACATGTGTCTATCAATTATAAAATAGTGTTACAAGCTGTATGCAAAATAAAGGTAAACATCCAAAATATTTCACAAAGCAAATAAACATAAATTGTAATTTCAAACTCAGTAAAGCATCCAATTTTAAAAGCAAAAAACTACTGCATGTTTTGTAATGTTAAAATGTCATTCTACAATTTTTCAATGCTAAAATCTAATATCAGCAGTTATAAATTTTGCATACTTCAATGCATTTAAAATCACCTTTACGCATTTAAATTCATAGAAGAAAATATTTCCTATATAAGTCCACGGTCTTGAAACTTCGAAAATAATGCATAACAAAATTCAAAATATTACCATTGCGGGTATGTTCATGAAACTTAACCTTACATACCAAAAGTAAAGCAAGAAATATAAAAGAATGATTTAATAAAACATGAAACAGTAAATAAATTAACAATAAAATATGTATGTCTTTATAAATATATAAATATTGAACTTAATGTATATGGCGGCATCTTTAGTTTCACAAAAATTTTAATTTAAAATAAAAAAAAAACGTCTTGATAAATTTATAAATCGCTAAGTACACATTGCGTATACTTCATGTCTTCATTATAAAACCGTAATTGTAAGAAGTGGTTTGCATCATACCAAAGACTATTTAATGCTACTGTAAAATGGTCGAACCTACAAAAAAGCTTTCAACATATTTTCTGCAAAAATATTTTTTGGAATATCATATATAAATTGCTAACTACATTCAAGTTTCCATAAAAAATCAAGGCTCAGGCTACAAAAATATTCCTAAATTCGTTTAAATTCAAATCATGTTTCAAGAAGATATTTATTGAATCAATTACGATAATCTCGGACATACCATTTGCGGCATGCCCACTTCTAGAAGGACTCGAATAAGGACTTCGCGCTAGATTGTTAAAAATATTATTAAAGTTGTTTAATCAGCTATGAAATTAAAATAAAAATCTCAGCCAGTATAATGAACATTTCTATTAAATAATCATCAAACACAAAAATATCTATTGAAAATAAACGTGATTCAAATGTTTTCTTAAAAATAACAAAAATTTTTAAATGACGAAAAAATTCAGTAGCAAAAATGTATAAAAAATAAAGTAACTGAGTAGTAAAAATTGGTTTAAATTAGTGTATTAGGTAAGTATTAAGGGTTTAACACTAATAAATTAAACTAATAATGTGTATAGGAAAGTTAGATTATTACCTTTAGCTTGCCTTCTCCTTTTGCAATCAAAATCTAGTCTCCGACCTTGTAGTTTTTTCCTGTGATGCTATATTTTTAATATAAAAAATATAAGAGAAAATGATTTAATGAAATTAAAAACACGACTACTATAATGGATACATACCATAACCTCTTTAAGATCTTTGGTTTGTAAGTGATGTAAAGGTTCTAGGAAATTTTGTTTAATATTATCGTCAAGTGAATATTTAACGTCTGCCATCTGTTTGAGGGCTTCACCCATTTCAATGAGCGCCAATGCTGGAAATAGATTAAATAATATTTAATATATATTAATAATATTTACGCAAAAATTAGTAGGTATTTAAGTGAACATTATTCATGATAAATGGAAATTATAAAATATTTTTAACGAAGCAAACATGGGGTTCAAAAAAAAGTTGGCAGCCATTGTCTCGAAGCTTTCGAAAAGCATGTATTTTTGAAAATTAATTTTAAAGCTACATAATGTTTTTAAAAAGCTGGACTGAAAAAAGATAAGAATTTATGCAGTAAGCTTGGTTAAATCTATTTATGAAACCAATATATTGTAACAGATAAATACAGAAATGATGATTTTCCAACTGACAAATATAATACAAAAATCATGTTGTTTACAGTGTATTTCTATAAAATATTCTTGAACTAGTTACAGTGAATATTATTGTTCCCATGTCTATTACTTCTACCAATCAATATCATTATTAATTAATATAACTTCATTATGGCATTATCGAATCGTTTGCTAAAAAAAGTTATTAATGGTAAAAATATGATATGAAGCAAAAATCTGAAGCCAAAAGTATACAGTAAATTTTTTATCTCGTCACATAAGAAGACAGAATTTAAGTAAAACAAAAAAATTTATGTAGTAAAAATATATTGAATATATTTACTATATATATATATATATATATATATATATATATATTAATAATTATTGAATATATAAAAATATATTCATAGTAAATATATTCAATATATTTTTACTACATAAAGTTTTGTTTTAATTTGATTTTATACTTATGATTTATATATAAAAAATGTTATGAAAAATATGTAATACTAGCACATATTTCACAAAAAAAAGATTTTTTTTTCGTCAGGGGTGCTTAAAGTTTCATTTAATCCATAGTATTTCCAACATATGTGTTTCTTACCAAAAACTGTATCATCGCCAAGTTTCTTTCCATATGTCAACATGCAATCTCCCAACACCCCTTCTGGTTGGGGATATGTATTTGTTTTTGCCTGCCCTGACAATTTTGAAATGCCCTTAACAGCTGCCATTTTTGCTCTAGCATTTGGATTTGGTTGTAAATATTCTTTGGTTTTTAGCTGAAGCTCTTCAACTAATTCAACTGTGACGTCCGTTTTCTAGGCGAAAATAATTATTTAAAACTTATGCAATTTAAGATATTTAAATATTTACATTTGTCGTTATGTAAAATGATTTTCTAGAAACGATCAGAACATAGTTGCAATAATGTATTATATATGTTAATGTAACACTCGACTAATTTTGTACATTTAATTATTATATTATATATGTTTTCTATATTTCATGTTTTAAAGTTACGAAATCATTTTTTCAAATATTAATTTACTGAAAAAAGTTAAGCTATGGAAGAACTCACCCTTTCCATGTCCATAAAATCCAAATCCAATTTGGTGCCTTCCGCACCGCCCATTTTTTCTGTGACATACTGCAACAAAGTAAAAAAAAATTAATGACTAAATATAAATATGTCTCTTAAATGTATCAATGTTTAATCGTGTGTATTTGAAAGTACACCCATAAATGCACCATATAGTTATCTCCAATACGGTATTGAAAAGACATTATATAAATCTATTACAAATAAGTCAAGGTTGCTCTTGCATTCAAATTCCATGCGTTCTGCACAGATGAAACATTTGAAAACTTTTGGTATCCAATACAAATTCTAACTTGTTGTAAGTGGCATTTTGCTTTGGAGTAAGTTGGAAAAACTACCCGATATGCCAATAGCAACTTTGAAAATTCTAAAGATAGAATTTTGAAGTTTTGACACAATCATTCATTATTCCACCCATGAATGAATTTTCATAACTAAACCACTTTTCGTAAGGCTATGACGACTCATTATGGTCAACATGACTGAATTTTATAACTAAACCAAACATGAATAAATTTTCATAACCAAACCACTTTTCGTAGGGCTACAATATTTGGGTATATTTGTTAGGATCATGATTTCTATCATCATATAATTATAATTATAATTATACAGAAACGTCCTGGAAAATCTTTACCCAAGAACTGATCATCATGGCTTCCAACAGATATTATTAACTTCCCGAAGGAGAAGTTTATGTTTTCATCAAAAAATCCGATTCTCTAATTTTATGTTTTCTCGACGTTTCAAGCCATTCTGAATCGAATGAGACCAAATTTGGAAAAAGTATGTGTGTGTGTGTGTGTATGTGAACAGATTTTTTGCCGTAAATCGACGTTTTCTCGAAACGGCTGGGCCGATTTCAAAAATTTAAAAGCTATTCGATGTATCTCGACGAGAACTATTGTTTGTCAGTTTCATGCGGCGATCGGCCAAGCCGTTTCTTTATAAATCGCAGAAAAGTGAAAAATTTTTCGTCTACGTTTTAACCCGCAATTCTGAATCGATTTTGAAAATTCAAAAACCGTTCGAAAGATATTGGTTGGGAATCGTGCTGATTAGTTTTTGGTAGAGATCGGCCGGGCCGTTTTCTTGTAATAAAGTTAAAAAAAAAATCGACGATTTTTATGATTATTTTTTTGACGGTAGATACCATAGTCTTCTAGATCATACTAAAATATTACGGCCCTACGACAACTGGTTCAGCTTTAAAAATTCGTCAAAGTTTGCAAAAATTGGTATCGTTTTTTTGGCATTTGTCAAAATTAGACTTTTGATCGACGTTTTCTCAAAAACGCCTGAACCGATTTAAGAAATTTAAAAGCCATTTGATGTATTTCGGTGAGGACTATCGTTGGTCAGTTTTGTGCGACGATCTGCCAAGCCGTTTCTTTGCAATTTGAAAAAAAATTGTTAAACTTTTCGTCCACATTTAAGCTCATCCTACCGAACCGATTTAAAAAAATCAAAAACTGTTCGAAAGATATTAGTTGGGAGTGGTGCTGATTAATTTTAGGTAAAAATCTACCGAGCAGTTTTCTTGTAATTAACTGTTGAAAAAAAGTGTTAAACTTTTCGTCCACATTTAAGCTCATCCTACCGAACCGACTTTAAAAAATCAAAAACTGTTCGAAAGATATTAGTTGGGAGTGGTGCTGATTAATTTTAGGTGAAAATCTACCGAGCCGTTTTCTTGTAATTAACTGTTGAAAAAAAGTGTTAAACTTTTTAGTCCACATGTAAGCTCATCTTACCGAACCGACTTTAAAAAGTCAAAAACTGTTCGAAAGATATTAGTTGGGAGTGGTGCTGATTAATTTTAGGTGAAAATCTACCGAGCCCTTTTCTTGTAATTAACTGTTGAAAAAAAAATTTAAGCCGATTTTCATGGAACTTTTTTTGGCGATATACATTATGGTCTTATAGAACTTACTGTAATATTATGGCCTTACGACAAGTAGTTTAATTTTAAAAATTCGTCAAACTTTGCTAAAATTATTATCGTTCTGTTTAAAGTAGAATTGATGAAGTATATTATTTACACGTTTTTTTGATTAAGTCGATTATTTACACATATCGGGAAGTTCATGTAACTTGCCTCAAGGCTAAATACCAAACCAACTAGTTTGATAGAATCTTTAGGTGCAGCCGATTCAAAAGACAAATTTTGACTCACATACATATACACATAGCTTTTTCCAATTATGATGTCAAACGATTTAGAATGACGTGAAAAAAACTAAAATTAGCAAATTGGATTTTCTGGCAAAAAAGTACTCTAAAAATATTTTGCATCATAAATTAAATGCGTATAATATAGTTTATGCGTATCTAGAATATTAAGTTTTAGACTTTTAGATAAAGTCGAAGACATTCCAAAAAATTTATAATCATTTAATCTAATTTCTATATTTTTTATAAAATACCGCATTATATTTGTTTACAATATAATTAATTATAAAGAAACAAAGGATATGAGATTATTCTCTTTATAATATAATATAAAGGTCTTTGTAATTATAGAGATCTTCCATTGCGTAATGGTCTTACGCGCGGACACATTTGGACGCGGGTTGAGTTTGAACCCCGCTCTGGGCAGCCTAACATCGGGTAGCAGCGATGTCCATTTTCACTTGACAATATATAATATAATATATATTAGGCAAAATTATAATTATATAATTAACAACTTGAAATATATAATTCCTATTTAATTAATATAAGTAGAGAATATTTCTTTTAACAAATTCACATTTATTTTTGAAAATCTTCATTTAAATTTTTATATTTTAGAATATTTCGGACTCTGAAAATTATAAAAAAAATATTTAAAAAATGTAAAAATAAATATTTTGAAAATTTTGAAAAACTGAATTAAATAAAATAACATAAAATAAGATTTACTATGCTGATTTATAATTTATAATACTTGTATAATTTATAATATTTGACTAAAATATACTTTTAGATTATTATTAAAATCTGTTTATACTTTCATATTTTAATTGAAATTAAAACGAGCCAACAAACGATAACTCTATTCCATTTCCTTCAAGAAAATCGTTATCATAAAATGTATAATATCTTCCATCACTTCACCATTAACAAGTGGCTGGTTGGTTTATATTCATAACGAGTAGAGGAATAAACCATAAATCCGATAGCGACGCTTGTATTAAGCTTTGTAAAACAGGAACATCGATAGCAGTCAGCCCCGTGACCCATTTAGAGCACGTGTAGAGGGAGCATCCTATTTAGGTCACGGCCATCGTTTGGCATGACATGATGCCAGATCTCTTGCTTTCACTGGATTTCCGATTTCCGATTTTCGAAAAATGATATATCAATGCTTTTATCATAAGCGGAAGAAATAAATGGTTTAAATGTCACTACTCACTCATTCATTCATCACATATTTGAATTATGACAGGTCATGAACTATTTTAGCTGTTTTTAACTATAAACTGTGCCAAGTTTTTTAAAGTAAGATATAATTTTTATCCAATGAAAGTCTCACATAATAATAAAGGCAATCATTATGTGTAGTTTATGTTTAGAGTCTCAATTTGACTCTTTTTCTTTGACTATTCTCTTTTCTCTCTTCAACTTTTTTATAGTTTTGTTTTTGTCCATTGAAAAAGAGTCAAAATACGGAACGAACCGTATGGAAAACGATTAAGGTTATTTTTAGGAACATAATTTAGTTTCCTTTCTATTTTTATTATCAGTATGAATGTGTGTTCAGGATATGTTTTGTTTTATCAACATATTTATAACCACCTGAAAAAATAGTACAAAATTATATATATCTAAAACTATTCACAACGATTCCCAAATGATACATGTAGAATAGATTTAGAATTTTACAATTTACCGGTTCACAATTTGGGCTATAACGTAGACAAAAAAATGCACTTTTATTTAATAAAATTTACAGAATGGCTTTTGAATGTTTGAAATCGGATTGCCCATTTTTTAAAAAATGCCGACTCAAAGTGAAATTTTGACTCGTGCCAAAAAGCGCTTCTAGATTTTTTAAAACTTCGATGATTTTTTGAAAAATTACCACTTGTTGTAGAGTGGAATTAGTATTTTCTTTAAGATCATGATCTCTATCCTCAGGAAAAAATTTATAAAAATCACCAAAAAAAAAAAAAAATACGAAGAAACGACACGACCAAACTTTGCAAAAGTAATCAGTACCACTCCCAAATGCTATCTTTCGACCAATGTTAGAATTTTTAAAATCGATGCAGGATTTTAGGCTAAAACATGAATAATTTTTTTTACGCTAATTTCTGCTAATTACAAAGAAATGGCTTGGCCGATCGTCGCACAACATTGATAAACGCTAGTCCTTATTGAGTTACATATCATGGCTTTTAAATTTTCTAAATCGTTTTATCAGTTTTCAAGAAAACGCCTGCAAAATACCAAAAATTGGCTCACATACACTCAAACGATTCAGAATGATTTAAAACGTCGAAAAAAAATTTAATAGGTAGCAAGTCCAATTTTTTAGTGTAAAACTCCTTTCAAAAAGTAAAAAACTGTATACTGATATTTTTGGAATTATATTATTTGGAAAGTCGGCCAAATATGCTCGTACGCAGGCGGCCATATACGCAGACACGGTCCAGAGCAGTTAGATTGATGTTCGGTTTTGTTACAATGACAATGTGATATTAAAAAATATTTCGGAACGAGAATATAGACAGTATCGAGAGTACTGTTGATTTTGGAATTTTTCCATTTCTAGACATTTCCATTTTTAGACTATACAATAGTAAAGTAAATAAGTTTTCTAAATATTGGGTAAAACATTCCTTGGATGATGTTGAAAGCTTTCTGCGTAGTCTTTGCGGTTTACCAAAATTTAATTAAGTAAAGTTTGCTTGTTAACACTCAGCGATACCATTCCTTTGATTAAGTATTTCAAATCTGCATCTACGCCTTACTAATGACAGATCTCTTGTGCGGATACTTCTGTGGACATTTGTATTATATTTGCTCTTGATAGTATCTGAAGTTAGCTATGTATTC